TTTAGAAGAGAGTTAATTATTATTCTATGAGTACGCCATAACCTTGTCATTATCGTTAAAAACCACGCGCTGTGGAGCTTTTGATCCCACGCACTTTTTAAACAAATAGCTTCTGTAAAAGTAGAGCACATCTGTGACGACAAACGCAAGGCTTTCGCTATCTAATCGCAAAGCTTTCTTGTCAGCACTTGAACATAGTTATATACACATATACACAGTCTTAACTATCAAAGCACCTGGCAATAATAAACACCGTTTTATATCCATCTGTCAGCAGAATTTTTTAAACTACACCTGACTCACATAAATACATCATCCGAAGTGAAGATTTGAGACGAAATGAGTGGGATGTTCAACTAGATCAAAATGTAATTAAAAGAATGATGTTTAAATTGATTTATGTTGCTGTGAAATCCCAAGGAAATGAGGACATAAATCGAGGGATCATTTTTTGTTACTTTCTTAGTCATTTGATTTAAACAAGGGTCGGAATTTTATTGTTCTCTACAATGGTATTGTGCTCTACAAGCTGACAATATAATAACCTATTATTTAAAAATTTATTAATCCATTTTAAAATAATATTTGTAATGGTAAGATTTTTTTCAGGTTATAACAGCTTATTACAATTTCGTGACTATTTAAAGAAATACTCTATTTCGAAAGACAAAGTATCTATTAGACACTTGGTCAATATGAAACTAAAATTTTTCGGCAGCTTAAATTTAAAAATTGCAGATTTTTGAATACAAAGCCAAAACAACTTGTTTGTAGTAATAAAGAAGCTTTGACTTTTTATACATGATTCTCATACTTATCTTGTGAAAATGATTATGCCTCGTGACCGAATTCAATAAATAATGAAAATAATTATTATGCAAAACAAAACGGTAAATAAAGGCAATAACGATAAAATAGTGGCTATAAAATTAATGACTCGTATCGTTTACTATAATTATTATGTATAGGTAATTAACGATAATAATTTGTGTTAATTAAAAATGATTTGTGTTAATTATAAATTTAATAAAAAATATATTTTAAATGGTAGTAAAATCTTCGTTGGCGGAGCGATTAGAATAAGCCTTCTAGTGTACACCGAGTCATCAAGATATGAGTGTCGGTCGTTTTGGCTTATTTATTAAAGTAGTCAGATTGATAGTTTACATGTGTTAAAAAGCTGTAACAAAAATATCTCGGTCTAAAAATGGTAGCAAGTAACAGATGACGGGTGTTCCAAAACTACTGGTTGTCTGACAGTGACCGACGAGAGGTCCGCGTTATATGGCGGTCGATTTCACGGTGAAGAACAGGATATAATTACCTGCTGCGTTCATTTCAAAGGTTTCTTGAAAGCTCTCATAAATTGTGGCCAGACACCACTGCAGTATGTGAAGAAAACGTCTAATTTATTACAGCAGCCTCGATGTATCACATCACATCTAATGAAAAATTCCGTTAAATTTACGATTATTGTCCCATTGATATTCCCAATCGAGACTTGAAAGAAGAGTATCTAATGAAGAAAGTGGCCTTCCACGTCCGGTAAAATCTGCGGAAAGCCCGATTTCGAACTAATTCCTCGAATAAACATATAAATCAGTCTAAAATATATTGAGGCACTTATTTTAATGGAATGCCCACTCATTTATCAAAGTCCCGGCAAGCTCGGCGCTTTGCGCTTGTTATAGAGACATAATTTATGAGAAAAGGAAATAGTTATTTCAATTTGAATCGAGTTTGAATCGGCGGAACGTGCACAAGGGCGCGAAGGGCGTCCAAGACGGCGTGGCGAGGTAATTAAGAACTCGACTATGATCAATAGGGTCGGGGCAGCCGGCAGCCCGCGGCGCTTGCCTCATTAATCCTCGGGGCCTTTATTAAAAGAATTGAAGAAATATGGGCGGAGCGGCCAGACATCCTCTCATACCGGCGATCTCTAACGCGTTACGTTTAATCAAGTGCCGGGGCGGCAATTGAATTAACGGGGCTACGTGAGGGCGGAAACTTGTAAGTCGAAGGACCATTAGTCTTTCGGAGCAAATCAGCGCTTTGTCGCTCCATTACAAATTTCACTCGTTATTGCACTTCTTTAGATGGTCTCGCCGATTTTCACAACCTGAACGCTTTTCAGACCACTCAAGATTTAAATTATTGGACTAGAAAAATACTGAAATGACAAATTGAGCACTCCACAAGACTACCTATTAGATGAAATTAAATTTATTATCTCAAAAATTATTTTTTTTAAGATTTCTTTTGGCAGATTACAATAAGTAGCAAGCTACAGCTTTTACCGTTTTCCATCATTTCAAACCATATTTGTCAAAAATTACTTTTTTCCACTTTGCGTCTCTAAGAACAACTTTATGCTTTTCAGTTACGTTTCACAAAGGCGCTTCTTATGATACGCAACTTTTTATTAGCAAAGGTTGGTAATTCAACCAGTACCACAATGAATTGACAAACTAATATAACATATGCTTGTCTGTTAACACATACCATCCATGGATTAACACCAAAAAGTATAAAAACACTAAAGAAAATGCGAACTAACAACATTTCTTAACATTATTTGATATTATTGTTTTCCACTGCCTACTTTAATAAACTTTCAATTAACGCATAACTCAGTAACGATTGGTTTTAGGCAAATAGTACCAAAAATTTTTAAAATACAATTAAACAAAGTATATGAAAGTAATAAAATATACAGTTTTCCATTTAAAAAGATGAAGTTGATGTTACTTCCAGAGTAACAGAAAGCAGCATGTATGAGCATGTATCCCGAATAACAGATAACAATTACTACGTTTGCATGAGGAATTGAATTCGAATTGAAAAAGGTAAAAAAAAGTACAATTATATGCATGGAAACAGTATCGTATTGAAACCAACCGAACTTTACCGGGCTTGTGTCAAAAAGTTGACGTTGAAAAGCTGTCGTTGTTGAGTCAAGTCATTTCGGTTTCGTTTTGCTTTTTGCTTTTTTTTCAAAAAAAAAAAAAGATACCAAACTACTTCATGGAAACACACACGGAATCAATTCCAATACCGTTTTCAATTCGAATTCAATTCCTCATAGAAACGTAGTAAATAAAATGTGCATCTTTGTTCAAAAAAGTATTGTTATATCTGTAAAATAATGGCTTGGGGCGTTTTTTAAATCCATTCTGTATAAAGGAGTGCTCTAAAAACTTACTTTTCAGAGAAAATTTTTAAAATAATAAAGAAAATCGACAATCAGTTCGAGAACACCTTTTTACCTTTTTAAGCAAATGTTGCTATGTTTACTAGCACACAAACTAATTTTTCCAAAGGTACTATTAGATTTTTTTTTATTTGCAAGAAATTGTTAAATTTTGACAAATTCACAAAGTACTATTTGTTTCTTTGGTAACTTGGAAAGGTTATTTAAATGTTGCCATTATGAGTATTAGATGCATGAAGCTCGATTTTCTAATTCATTAAAAAATAATTAATTTTATTAGTTTTCTCACTTTTCTCATAGTTGAGCGGCAAAATTTTGTAAATGTTTACTTAGAGGAATTTTAAAAATTGCAGAATAAAATTTAAGGATACATTATTTATTTCATTGCTAGGTATTTTCATGGACTTCAAGAGGGTGTTACACAATAAAGAATACCCAATAACCAAAAATTCGGTTATTTTTATTTATACAAAGTGATCGAGAAAGAGTGTGTCTGTTGGTGACAGAATTGAAATAATTTTTGTTAATAATTTGCAACACTGCAACCGGATACGGTTTTGCTTGACAAATACTTGTCGTATAACCCCTCAAGATTGTTGAATTGTTGTTAATCAAAAGCGTACTCCAATGGTAATCTTTAAAAATTTGAATCAGGATTGCCAACAGATTCATTCATTATGGATCACTTTGTATTTGGTAATTCTTATGCTTTTAAGCCTGTCCGACCTTTTTTACACACCCGATGTGTAGACAAGACATTTTGTTAAAGAACAACTTGAACAAAATTACCTTCTAATGTGTTCATTATTTACGAGGATTGCCTTTTCTATTTCGGCAATGGTCGATTCTGGTGCTGCCATTTAAAGTTCTACTTTTTTACGGTATACTTAAAACATTTAGACGTATGTACAGGTGCTATTTGTATTGGTTACAGTGACTTAAGAAATTAATTTCGGCTAAAAAATGGAATTACCCGCCGTAAACATTTCCGTGCAATTATTTTTTACAACTTTCGACATGAATTATCTCAACTTAATTCAATTTTGGCGATGAAGCACAGTCAAAAACAACAGTATATCGCTGATATACCGAATTAAATGGTGACCGTGGTACGCTCACTGACGAATTTTGTCGTCCAAAATCGGTTGATATTCCAAAAAACACTGATGCTGTGCGAAAAATGATACTATAAGATCATTATCTGACTTCTCGTAAGATTGGGGCATCTTTAGGCATTAGTAGGTTCAAAAGACGTTTAATTTGGATGAACATTTGGCTGTCAAAAAATTTTTGTTCGAATTGGATCCCACATAATTTGACAATCGTTCAAAAAAAGCTCATGTCTATTGATGAAAAGAAAAAGAAATGTTAAAAAAATATGATCGTGGTGCTTCAAAACACGTCTATGATATCATAAAAGTCGGCTGTATGAGTTTAAAGAGGTGGTTGATGCGTTCTCAGTCTGAGTGGAAAAAGCATTTCGAAAACTGCTTCAAGAGCATGCAAAAGCGCAAATAATAAAGTTATGTACGATGACTAATTTTAGTTTAAGACAACTGTAGTAAAAATTACAGATTTGATTTCTAAAATTACATTTGTTTTTTGTTTATTAATGCCAAAAACTGAATAGTCTTAACTGGTAGGTATATCATGTCCAAATTTTACGTGTTGTGTCAAAACCTACCCCTCTGTAATTCAACGTCATATTCAAAGCTAGTAAATTAAAACCTTCCCTTGTGACGATGCTTTTGATATTGTTTATTAAGTCATAATGATGGGGTTTTGACAAAGTCGCCCATAATGAACTACCGCCGAGAGGTTACAATGGTACGGTTTCTATAGAGTTAATTCTTTTAGTTGGTTGGTAGGCATAGTCGGCGATAAGTCTAATGATATCCTCTGCGGGTGGTTGGTATTGGATCTACCAGTTGGTCGTCAAACAATAGCCCTCTTTAAACGTGTCTGTGGTATCTGCTGTAGATCTAAAAGTAGCAACGTCACCTTCGCAACAGGGAAACTCAACCCCATTACCATTCACATTGTTTGGACCGGCACTAATTTCACATTGAAATAGCTAATAATCTCTTTCTAACCGAACCTGATGCGAAGTCATCGTGCCGTGAACGAGTTACAATTAACGTTTGTATAGTGTTGCAGCTGTGTATTGCTAAAGAGGATTGTGCTTGGTCTACAATTGTTTACGGTTTATTGCGGTGATCATGCGGAGCACATTTTACTCACAGATTCGATTTTCAATCGGAATTTTTCAAGTAAACCTGACCGACCATCGTTACAAACTCGGTTACAAGCGACTTGTATAAATCAAAGCGTAAGACTGATTAAATTAAACATGTCGATACGTCACTAATATCAATGAACTGCCATCATTAATAATAGCTGGCAGTTCCAATTGTGAAATAATAATTTTTTATTGAATTTTATGATAATTGTGTTACCGTTAAATTCAACGTGAATTATTCCATTATTCTTCCTGTTCAAGCAACAAACACATCCATCAGTCATTTATTACGCCTGTGACGTGATAGTAAAAAGATGGATTGGTATTGCGCGTATTGCGCCAACACGCAATTAGCTTTATTATTGATAGGAATAAAGTTACATTTTTAGACAAAAAACAAAACCAATAATAAAATTTTACATATCCAAAACGATTGTATACCTATTTTGAAAAATATTCTTTAAATACATTATCAAAATATCATCAATCAAAAAACAAAAATATTAACTTTCAATGTGTAGGATTTTATCATGACGTTCTTATTAATCTTGGGAGACTGATTGATTGATTTTGTTATTAAAATTAACCAGGAAAAGTTATAGGAAATTACGACACTCATTACGAAAGTTTCTAATCAGAGGAATGAAGATTGTTGATTGTAATTTAAAGATAATAAATACAAAGTGTAACGAAAAGATGGGGACAAAGAGTAACCTGAGATTCCTTGGGTCAAAATAAAACGATTTAAGCCAACTTATTTCCATACAAAGTTGCATGCCAATAAAATTAATGTTTTTTTTGTTTAAATTAATAATAATAATTAGGTAGGTATATTATTTTTAATTAACACAAATTGAAATTGCTTGCACAAACTTCTAGGGGTAATTCCATACCTCAAAATATGAAGAAAAGTTTCTATCAACATAGTTCTAACAAAGTTTCCTTAGAAAGTTACGACCCTGTAAATGTGGGCCTTAAAATGTGCTTTTTTAATTATTTTTGTTAATATTTTAATTAGAAAAACAAAACCACGCACCGGGAGGTTTTTTAGGATGCTGAATCGATTGGCATAAATAATTTTTGAATCTTGGTCAGCGGGACTTAGATTGCAAATGCAAATCATAATTAAAATTAGATCAAGACGTAAATGAAAATTGTTTTCTGGGTTGCATTGCCAGATCGTCAGGCTCAGTATCTTAGCTGAATTGCTCTGTATTAGTAACAACTTTCGACTTAAGTTATTATTTACTTGGAAAATACATAGAAGTACCTATTTATCCTTTAATGTCTTCGCGGTGCCAACGAACACCTCAACAACCAGTCTAGAATTTGTGAAAATCGTAATATGACTTTATTAATCATGATCACCAAATAAGCTTCATTAAATTTAGATGTTAATAAAATAAACCTAAGTATGTTGCAGTACGATACCCTGATATTTCGTAAACCTATTGAAGTAAAGGAAAAAAATTACCGCGATTTCATTGAAAATTGAATGTGACAAGTTAATTGAGTATATGCGATCGAAAATGATGCTTTTTGACGAGAATAATTAATAATAAGATTGTAAAATGATAAATACTGACAAGTTGTGAAGAAACGCCCACAACACCTTGAACTGAAAATAATGATGACGGATCGTGTATATATCAAAGGTAAAAAATGCAACGCATCAGAAAACTCAAATTGAACTGTCCAATAAATTAAAATTATTAAGCAGACCGGCCATACATAATAATCTCTGTCCGTTTACATAAAAATCTATTTTGGGTTGCATGGGGGCCGTTAGTCATGTTCATTTATTAAAAATGACAGTGCCATAAATAAATTATAGTTAATTGCCTGTAGAATCATAGTGAATGCATAAAACTGATGTAGCATCAATTTGCCGCGTGGCTCTGTTAAAACAGCGCCGTCTTTGATGTCGAGTGCCGGCTTGACTGATATCAACATCCGCACATCAATCTAATTATACGGGCCCGAACAACGGTCTTTGATAAAGCGGCCAACTTTAGAACACTAGCATAAATAATATTCTCTGTCACCACCAACATTCCACCAACACTTGAGTCCTATTTCTAAAGAAAGATGAAACGCCGATCACACATAAAGGTTCCGATATTACAGTTCCGCCGAAAAAAAATTGTATACAGCTGCTTCCGTTTTAATATGCGAAAATTCAGGAATAATTAGAAAACGTAGAAATAACGAGGATTCGTTCTATGAACAATTGTTCAAAAACGTTTCCTTACCACAGATAAATAGCGCCAAAATTTAAAATCTGTTACCATTTTTTCTTAATATCTCCCAAATGGAGAGAGCTACGAGCTCCAAATTTTGCAAGCATATTTTAAATGAGTGATGCTTGTTAGCCTATTGTTTTTTATTATTTTATTTCAAAAAAAAATTTAACTTAAGCAGTGAAGTGACACAAATAAAATCAGGTATAGTTGGTTAAATCTACTCCTGAGGCTAAAGTCTAGACCGGTACCGGTACCGGAAGTACCACCACTCATACAGTAGATGAGAAATTTGTACAAAATAATAGCCAACATCTTATTGTAACTATTATTGCAGCACCATCGGAATCCAAAAAAATTAAACTTACATTGTCATCCTTGATGAAAATTTATTACTATACTATTTTAAAAAGGCTAGTTTTATTTATCATAATTAATTCTTTCCCTCACGTGTTCTAATTAAAGTAAAAAAATTGTTTAAAAACAGCATAAAGAAGACAAATTAGAAAAAATAGTATAAAAAAGCTACATAAAACCTTGAAGCACTCATTCTTTAAAATAAAATAATAAAATTTGAAACTTGAATTCGTGCTTCAAGACTGGTCTTATAAAACATGTTTTTAACATACATACTATTATGGCATCTGTATCGCAAGGCATATAAACCATTATGAGAGACAATCGACTTGTGTAATGAGTTTCAAATATTGTTGCTTGTGACTATAGAAACTTACCAAGTAAGAATTTCTTAATTTATTCAGAAAGTTTTATTTATTTATACAAGACGTGTGTCGGAATATTTGCGTTAAAATCTAGGAAGACATAAATATCGTATCTAGAGACCCTTTAAAATATAAAAATTTCAATACGAGTCTCGACCTCTCCTTACATGGGGCCTATATTGCGAGTCGTTGTGTAAATCACACGTCGAAACTGCTCATCTTTGAGGAATCCAAACTGCGACCCGAATAGAGCTCGTCCCATTTATTTGTTTCATAGTGTCGCGATATTGCTTTTTCAGCGGCCATCTTGAGGCAGCAGCTTGACGTAATAGCCACCTATAAAAATGCTGCAAGCAGTACAGTTGAAGATTTTTCGGACGGCGGTCACAACTTGGGTGATTGGGAGTCCGACTTGCAAAATCGTTGAGTTTTTCGAGGCAATTAACGCACTAGAAAACGCCTTCGAATAAATCAAATTCGCACAACCGTTGGCAGGTAAATAGGAAAGGTCAAGACGTTTCATGAATTATCTGCTTGACCCTTGAACTCTTCGCCATCGTGATGAACATCGCACAACGGTGTGTAGGCTTTTGAAACGAGTGATAAATCGCCGACACCATGACCGGCCAAGCAAGAGTAATATTTTATTCAGGGGCCCCTTTTTCAGGAAGAGATTAGGCAGAAGGGTAATTACCGGATTGGATTAGAGAAACACGAGTTGTTTTAGAAAGGAAAAAATGAAATGATTAGCGAGGAGTAGTGATGCTTTGATTTGTAAATCGCGATGTGCTACCTCCAGCTTAATTTTTTTGTTGAATATTAATTAAAACGTTCGTGAGCATCAAATCATCTTAAGTGGACTGCCGGAGGCGTCGTGCAATTTCCGTTCGGTATTTACATTCTGACATGAGCAGATGCAAAAAGAAATGGGACGTTTCTCGAGGCAATAAAACTTTGTTGACAGCTCGAAATTAAATATGAAGTAGAAATGTCTGCTCCACGTTCCTTCACCTCGGAGAATACATCTGTTAAGCAGAATGACACGCAACCGAAAGAATCATTTCAAAAAATTAGGAAAATTATTAAATTGGATCCCGTACTCGTATGTAAAAAATTCTGTGCTCAGCGCAGAAAGTGGCTGCGAAGGGAACACTTCACCGAAGTGGACAGGCAGCAAAAATGACCCACTCCACTTATCTGATATTCCAAAGCGTATAAATTTTCCTATATTCGCCGGTCGTGTCATGCGGAATGGGGCAGTTTTCTCGAAACCTAATGGTTATTGCCTTTCTCGAACGGACATATTGCGTTCCATCTAGTGCAATGTGTGCTGCCCATACATCACAGGATATAGAGCTGCAGGGAGACGCTGCGGCAGACAGAATTGCCTGATATGAAAGGTGTGTCGGAAATGAAAGAACACGAGTGGTCAACGTTCTGGTATTGAATCGGACAGACGACTTAGCGGCAGAAAGTGACAGCCGACATTTTTCACCATCGCTGACAGAACAATACAAAGAGTTCACGCAATAACATGCGATATTAATTCAAACAATTATTTTTCTTACACAATAATACCTCTCAGAAATTTCTTCATTTTACATGCTATTGTTAAACTCATTTTTATCAAAACCTATATTTACACAACATTTTTTCACACAAAATACATACATACTTATTATTGTAAAACAATTTTCACAAAAAGTAAACAGGTGTTTTATGTTACTTTTTTGGATATTTCAAAGAAAATTTACCTAAAACACAAAATTTATCTTCTTTTACCTAATTAAGTAGCACAATTAATTATGGTGCTTTGAATGAAACCTAGCTGGCAACACATCTTACAAAATAAGTTTTTCTCCCACACACTGCTATAAATCACATAGATTTCATTTCTTACAAGCTACCAAGTAAATTAATTAGATTTATTGTTTTATTATACTTATGTTTTCTCAGCAGTACCTATTAGTTAATACTGATTTTCAATTCTTGTTAATCAAGAGACTTTTCGGGTGTTATTTCGTATCTGATCATTGCAGGTTAAAATATTGTACAACATTTAATTAAATTGATCATTAAATTATCTCATTAGAAGACTCAGCAATCAAAATGAGAAATTGTTTTAAGTAAGGTAGTCATTAAATTAATTAAAACAAAAGC